CTAACAGAGTGACTACAACTTCATGAGAGACCCAGAGAGAAAGTGAGAGAGCCAGAAAAATCAAGTGAAGCCACTCCTGGATTCACAATGCTCTAAAACTGGGTAAGAAAATACACATTGGTTTAAGCTAAAATTTTGGAGAAATTTATTATGCAGATATAGAGTTAATTAAGTATGATCATTAATCACAGTGAATCTGAATCTTTCAACAGAAAGATAAAAGAATACAAAAAAGCAATTTGCAGCTATGTCTAATTTGTCATAAATTCAGTTTTACTACAAACTTGATAACTCATAATAACTTTGTTACATTACATAGTATGTATAAAGCATGTGAACTTTTAAATAGAATCATACCAAAGGCTACTATAAATCTGTAACAGAATATAACTTCAAAGGGTAAAAGATAAGAAGTTGGGTAGAAAAATGAATCAAGTTAATCAGATAATTTCATTATAGCACCCTCAAGATCATGGACAGTTTGTTATTAAATTTAAGAATGTTGCAACTCTCTGTTTAAGGAGAAAATAAGAAAAAATTTCCTAGAATGCACAGATACATTTTTAAACTATATAAAAATAATGTATTTTCCTTTTTACATATATATAAGGCAAATGAGCATGCTCTGCCCACATGCATATATGCATATACACATTGGTACCCAAACACACACACACACAAACATACACACACACACACACACATACACATACACACACACAGATATATATGTTTATTAATTCTATGAAACATTGGCTGTAGCAATGCCATCGCTGATTAAATTTGTTCATCCTAGGTAAAATGCTTTCTTCTATTGCATCAGAATTCAAGTAGATGACAAAGTATTAATATATGTGTGATGGACATGTTGATGGGCAGGAATATTCAATGAGGACTATGTTCATCTGGACATTCTTAGGACACCAGTGACAGTTATTCCCTTGCCAGAGGCTTGGCTTCCATCAGATGTAACAATTCAATTTCTGGGAAGGCAGTGACAGATGCCAATTTCAGGGAAGAGACTATATATATATATATATAGAGACCATCATCTCTTTCAGTGTTTTGGGAGGGTGATTTCAGTCACTATTTTCAAGTAGAGGTGAGAGAGCAGTGATCTGAGTCCATTACTTACTATTTCTTGCCTTCAAAGTATCAACTATATGGTAAACGAATCACTTACCTCAAAAGCTAACACAAGCTATACAGACTCAAAATTTTTGTTGGGGTAGTAAGACAATGAAGATTAAAACAAAACAAAAACAAATCAAAACCCAAAACTAAATAGTTCCAAAAAAGACATATAGTAGATGTCTGCAAATGCAAACTTTACTTACCTGGCAACATCATCTAGTTGAATGCAGTTATGAACCATGAAGAATCTCCCACCAAAATGTGAAAGCAAGGAGAGGGAGTGAAAAGGGCTAACCTTTGTTGAAAGTATCTAATTTGGGCCAGGTGCTATGATAGGCCCTTTACATACACAAGCTCATTCATTCTGGACAGAAACCCTAAGAAGTGCTGATATACTTTCCATTTTATAAATGTAGAAATTAAGCCCAGAGAGGTTAAATAAATGTGCCTAAGGTTTAGCTATTTTGTTCAGCTATTTTGTGTAGACACTGTCATTTAATTAAAGTTTCTCCAAGTCCAAAGCCCATGTTCTTCTTTCCCAGATACCAGATGGCCTTCTTATAATCAAATCCACCTGCAACAGAACTTACGTATCATCCTTGACTTACATAAGCACTCCTGCAGAACCACATTCAAGGGCTATTTACGAGCAGTTCAAATTAGCCTCATTATCTAACATCCTGTCCTCTTCAAATACAAAGCTGGGAAAGAAGGTGGCTTGTGGAGAGGGGGCAAAATAGAATGGGCATGAGGGAGGAACAGGGACACTGAGACCAGCAAGAGATGACAGCTATGTCTCTACTTTGTCTTATACAGCTTAATATCCCCTGTAGAAGTCGCTGTATTGTGTATAATGATGGATGTTCACAAGGATTTTGTTCACTGGCCTCTGTATAGGAAATCGGGGATGTGTGTTACATATATTAAAGTAAGACTTTCATCAAAAACAGTTAAACTAAAATAAGTTTTGGTGCTTCAATAGGGTTAAGTTCCAAGAAAAAAATCCAACTCATGCCAAGCACCCCATTCCTTCATGAGGCTGAGTAAAAGAAGCAATGGTATATTGTTAGATTTTCTTATTTCTACTGTTTGACTTTTTTAATCTCTGGAAGACAACGTCTTACTCTTACAATCAAGTTTCTATTCTGCTGTTTTAAAATAAAGTATACAGCTCTTCCTAAATTGAGATCTTTTAAAGTGTCTTTCTTGTTACACGTTAGCATACTATATTAACTTAAGGATATGGAGGTGGTGTGGCATGGGGGTGTGTGTGTGTGTGTGTGCGTGCACGTGTGTACAGGGGCCAGACAACTCTGGATCTGAATCTTGGCTCTGCAATTTTACTACTGTGTGATCTTGACAAATATAGCCTCTTTAACAGTTTCTCCTAATGAAATGGTAAGACATCTTATCATCTCTTTTTCTGTTTTCCTTATGTGTCAAGACTAATGTCAAAGAAAAAAAATTGGTCAACTTCCAAAACACACCCCTTGGGGGTATATTTTCTGAGTGAAGGAATGGGGATAGGATAAATGTAGCATCCTTCTGTTTTTTTCACAGACACTGAGTTAGTTCTCAGGGCAGCCAAAGGGCTTATTGATTCTCTTTTTTCTCCCCTTCCAGGACGCTGTTCTCTCTTATAGTGGGAGTCCAGCCCAAGGCCATTTCCAGTCTGCAGAGAACAGTGGCTTAAGCTAGCTGGGAAGCAGTGTAAGGAGACAAACCAACTCTCTGGTTGGCCATCTCTTGTTCCTGCTGTCTTATATGTTTAGGGTAACTGTGCCACTAGTATTCTTTTCTCTTCAGGCACTAGTTAGATTTTGACATTCATCTCTGGGTTAGGATATACTGACAGACAGCTGAGTTTAGGTAAAGGAGTTCCCCACAGGGTCTAGACTCATTTACTGACATTTTTCAAAGGCCTCTAAACGCAGAACCCCAGTTAAAAATGAATGCTAATTTTCTTTCTTTTAATCATGCATTTCTTTTGGGGATCTTCTAGGAGAAAGGCATGGCTAGGGGCAAGATGCAGCTCACCACCATCATAATTCCATTCCAACAGGAGCCCAGCAACACCTACTTTCCATACTGTTGAGAGCATTAAATGACATAATACATAGAGAAATACACTTAGCATATTCCTGGCTATTAAGCACAAGCTACTCCTCAGTAAATGCTCATGCCCTCATCTTTTCCTTTATAAATTACAAAGTTAATATCAAAAAGAAAGAAATTCATCACAGATTTGAATGTATTTTTTTCATTTTCCTTCCATTCCTACAGTACAGTGATTCAAATCTTCCAGAAACTAAACATAATGAACCCGGCATATGAAAGAGCCCCTTTCAGAAGAGGTCTGATTCTGGAAGTAAAGAGTGTGGTACTAAATGTAATCTTCATGGAATTCCTGGGTCCCCTGTGCCAAAAGCTCCTTTTTCTTTCACATGTAATAAACAACACCTTTGCTTGATTAATCACTTTTTGCTAGAGATTGCAAGAAAAAAATTCAGCATTAAAACACTTTGCCAGGTTTATCTCTAGTTTTTCCCTAAACTTTTTCAAATATGAAGCTTTTGAAATCTAAATGTTTTCAATGGTCACTTGATTGTTTAGGATTTTTTTTCCCCCTCCACGTTCGTTTCTCCACATTGTAAATTCATGATGGCTTTTTATTGAATATCTACTGAGTTTCAAGTTCCATGCTAGGTGCTTCACATTAAACAACTTTATAAAGTAGGTAATAATCCCCTCATTATATGATGTGAAATCTGAGATTAGGAGAAATTTAGGAATTGTGTAAAGTCACAGGACGTGAAAATCTAAAATCTGGATATTGTTTCGTAAAATATTTGCATATTGTCTCCCTTTTCCTTCCAAAATGCATACCAAGTATACTTTGCTAAAAGGACACACAAAGGAGTCTTTTGGGATCTTAGGAGTCTGTTGGGATTCCCTTTTGTGCTCTCATAATGTCAATTCTGACATAAAAGGAATTTTCAGGTAATGGTAGAAGTATATCACAGTGCTTTGTCCAGGGTAAAACTAATCAGTTCAGCATCTAGGAAATGTATCCCTGTTCAGGCTTTCAAGGATGGGTCTTTATCAATGACACACTAGTATAGTAGTAGATTACTGGGGTCAGAAGACCTTGATTCTAGTTCTGGCTGGTAATTAAGTAGTGATAGATTTTTTGGTAACTACTGAAGGCTCTTATTTTCTTAATCTATAAAATAGAAAAAAATGATAAGGTACACATACCTCAAGAGGTTGTTCTGAGAATCCACTGAGGTAAGGTTTGTTCATATACTGTCTTATTTATCTCAAGTCATTTACTGTCTGTTTTTCCTCTCTGTTATGTAAATTCTATGCTATCAAGAAACCAGTCTCTATATTTTACCACTATATCTCCACGGCGTCGAACACTGCCTGGCAAACAGCAAATGCTCAAAAAAATAGTTGCAGAATGAATTGTGTGCATTGTAAAGCATTAAAAATGTTGATTATTAGTATTATTGTTAAGAATTTTTAATGATATACAAAATGGATATTTTTGTTAGGTATTAACTTTTCATAAACATTAATACTGTTAGCCAGCAAGTGCAGGCAGCCAGCATTTAAGTTCAAATGATGATCCTGTTCCAATTTTTTCATGTTTCCCTTGAAATTATTACCAGGTTTTTTCCACCAAATGATATCTGATATTAGCATTTAAATCACATGAAATGAAAATGGTGAGGCTTCATTTCTTGTTACTAATTTTTGTAACCTCCAAGAAGGTTTCTTAGTTTTACTGATTATTCTGCAACTTCCAGGTTCTCTCCAGATGTGAAGAAAATTGCTTACTTGGTTGAGATGCTTGTACTTACTTGATGAAGTACTTGATTCCATCTGCTGTGTAAGCTTCCTCCCACCCATAAGGTAAACCTACAGTGAAAGGAAACCAAAAATATATTTAATAAGATGATAAAGATAACTTTATTTCCTGGACACAAACCTCCCCCATCTTTACAATTATTTGAGCACATTTCTTGTACAAAATAATTTTCTAGAAAGGGAATTAAGACAATTCAGATGAGCTTTCATACTCAGCATCTTTAGAACACAATAAATAAGTCTTGAGCAGTTAACAATCTGCTTTAGTTGCAATAACTGGATTATGACTTGTCATTTACATGTGGTGAGCATTTTTGTCAGCAGGATTCAAGCAAAAATTTGTGTTGCAGCGGATGGTTTTTGCCTGAAGGCAGAAGGATGGACAAGATGGCCTCTGCTTGTCTATTCTGGCTCAAAGTTTCTTTAATTGGCTCCCTTTACATTCTTTCACTCAGCTCCACAGGGAATCAGACATGAGTGCCAGATCAGCAGGGGTTTGAAAGTAGCTTTTGGACAAGACAAAATTCCTTATTAAGTTTGAAAGTTTAGCAAAGTGATTTACAATGGATTGTGGCATTTTACTTTGTTAATTAAAAATTGTATGCACTAAACATAAACGGCCAAACAATTTGCTAAACTTAGCTTCCATTTCTGTAATGGGATTGAGAATAGTTAGCTATAAAGAGATGTGGATTGACGTAAGCAAGCAATATTTGGCCATATTTCTGTAATGAGTACATTTTGCCCCTCATCATACCAAAAAGAACAGCCCCAAGTTGAGGCAGCCACATTCTCTTACATTCTGATTTTGTGGGGTACTTTCCTAGAACACAGTGGTTTCTGCTCCTCTGTTCCATCCAGGTACAGCTAAGGATTTTAATTCACCTTTTGGATCAGTTCTTTGACATTGGCTTGTCACAACTCAGGTAGCCTAGGTACTCTGGAAAGTAACTGAGCTTTAACAACAAATCATTGACTTCCTTCCCCTAAGTCTCAGCAAGGGGCAGAGCAAAAGTGCAGAAATGGTAGCTATTTTTGTTTGTTTTTAGAGACAGGATTTCTCTCTGTTGCCCAGGCAAGAGTGCAGTAGTGCAGTCATAGCTCACTGCAACTCTGAATTCCTAGGCTCAAGTGATTCTCCCTCCTCAGCCTGCCAAGTTGCTAGAACTATAGGTATGTGCCATCATACCTAATTTTTTTTTTTTTTTTGTTTTAGAGACCAGGTCTCACTATGTTGCCCAAGCTGGACTCAAACTCTTGGCCTCAAGTGATCCTCCCACCTTGGCCTTCCAAAGTGTTAGAATTATTGGTGTGAGCCACTGCGCTTGGCTTAACAGTAACTATTTGAATGAAATAAAACCTTACTCTATCACCATTTGCTTCTTGAGAACCGTCTTTGAGAAGCAACCCTAAGGATGATTTTTTCTAATTAAGAAAAACAAGAAATATGCTTTGCATTATGTGTATTTCCAGTCTTTTACCACAAGTTGTACATGACCTTGAGCAAAAATTCTGTAATTATTTCCTTTGTATACTAACACAGGCCACCTTGGAGTTTCTATTCTCTCTTAATGAATAAATGTTCCTATTATAAGTAGAAAATAAGCACTTCTGAGAGCAGGTCACTGGCTTCCTAAAGGCCCCTGAGTGACTCTCACTACACGTCTCCTCTAGTGTCCACTGCCAGCACGTGCTCAGCCAGATGCGCCATGATAAACTGCTCTGCTGCACCAGTTCAAGTAGATTTATTTTCTGCCTTCACACTTTCTGCATCTTTTTTATAGATCACTTCATTCATCACTGACAAGCCCCTCACCTGGAGGGAAGAATCTGATGACTGTATCTAAGAACTTTGCTTTAATGACAAAAATGCTCAGCAATGCCAGGATTTCCAATCAATAAGACAAAGGCAGCTAAAAGTAAAGTAGGAAGTTATGTGACTACAATTTTTGCCTGCTAAACAATTTGTCTGACAAGTACAATTGTATCTGTTTCTAATTTCTTAAGTTACAGATATGTTTTAATAAAAAAGAAAACTGGACACTTTCAAGACAGTATCTTTCAATCTATAGGATCATTTGAAAATCGAAATTAACATTGGATTACCATATTCCCTGTACCATCAGAATAGAATTTCTGCCTTGATTATTTCCTTACAATTATTAAGCAAGAATTATAAATTTATAACAGACTTATAAAGGTACTAATTCATAGACATTTAAGTCACAATGGTTATTCAATGACTACAACCATAAAGATATCCCTGGATATTAAATAATATTTATAACTTATTTTTTAAAATGTTCTCTGTTCTGAGAAAATAAGTGTTTCTTTTTAGGAGATTGAATAGTTTCTTATATTTCATATAGATTTCATATAATCTATTATATAAAAGACAGACTTAGAGACTAAACTGATAGTAATTAATCTCTCAGTTATAGTTCAGTAATAGAAAACAATTACTGTGTCCAATTAAAACCTAAAAAGCACAAATAGCCTATCTTTTTTTTCTTTCTTTTTTTTTTTTTTTTAGACGGAGTTTCGCTCTTGTTACCCAGGCTGGAGTGCAATGGCGCAATCTCAGCTCACCGCAACCTCCGCCTCCCGGGTTCAGGCAATTCTCCTGCCCCAGCCTCCTGAGTCGCTGGGATTACAGGCACGCGCCACCATGCCCAGCTAATTTTTTGTATTTTTAGTAGAGACGGGGTTTCACCAGGTTGACCAGGATGGTCCCAATCTCTTGACCTCGTGATCCACCCGCCTCGGCCTCCAACAGTGCTGGGATTACAGGCTTGAGCCACCGCGCCCGGCCAAATAGCCTATCTTATACAAAAATAGCACTTATGATTTCCACAAGCTTATTGATGAACTCAGTTTTCCATGAATAAAGGTTTCATTTCTTCATAAGTGATTTGGCTATAACTGTAACATTATCTAAATACTTTTCAATAATCATTATTGTTCCAATTATTAAAATATTCCTACATTTCCCATATCTTTATACTTGGAAATATACAATGCTTCGATTTTTTCTTTTCATATTTGTTTTGAAAATGTTATGACTATAACCACCTGAAATTGTTTTTGATTAGAAGTATTGCCTATGAACCCTCCCATAACATTCTTTCCATCAGAGATCATCTGTTTCGAATCAACAACTTCACAGTGATGGCTCCAAAATCTTCATGAGTATCTTGCCAAAGTAATAGTCTTAAACATATTCAACTTTGAATACTGGCTGTTACCTAAAACTCTACATATCCAAAACCAAACTCATTAGCTTTCCAGACAAAATAGTTTCCTGTCTAATTTCTCAGTTTATTTATGTATCAAAGATTTTCTTTGTCATATCTGGCCCATGTATCATTCATTAAACATTTATTGATCCTTTATTATGTGTTCAGCATTTTGCTAGATGCTTAATATACAGTGATAAACAGACATGACCCTTGATCATATGAAGCTTTAAATCGTCATAAGAACATGATTAAAAATAGGAATAAGTTCTATAAAAAAAAGTATGGAATACAATGAAAGAGTAAGTCATAGCACAGACAAAGGCTGAACCCCCTAATGCAGAAAGAATTTCTACAAATCAATAGTAAGATCAATAACAAATAACAAAATAGGCAAAAGATGAAACATTTAGGACATGAAACAAATGAACACGTGAAAATATGTTTAACTTCATGCTTAATTAGAGAAATAAAAACTATTATCAGATACCATGTTCATCTATCAGATTAGCAAAGATTAACAAGTAGTTTAATAAGACACGGCGCTGATGGTGTGAAGAGACAGTCATTCTCATGTTGATGGAAGTATCAAGTATAATACACTTAGGAGGAGAAACCTGTAAACATCTATCTAAAATTTTCAACACCAATAATAATGAGTTGACATTTATTGAGCGGTTAGATTCTAGACACTGTTGTAAGCACCATACATGTACCAATTCACTTAATCCTCACAAAGAATCTATGAGAAGTACTGCTATTATCCCTATTTTAGCAATGAGGGAAATGAGGCACAGAAAGTTTAAATAACTTTCCCAAGGTCATATAGCTAGCAAGGGAAAGAGCCCAGGCTCTTCATCACCATGAGATCATTCATCACTATGTTGAATGAACTCCATATAGTTTAATCTAGCAGTTCTTCTTGTAGAAACTTATCCCATAGATATGCTTTACTGACAGGACTGTTCATTGTAAAAACAAAAAATTATAAATAATCTAAATAAACATCAATGGGAGCTGATTAAATAAAGATACTATAATAATAGAGCCAGAAGGATTTGAAAAACATTTGTTAGTGTTACAGAATTGTTACAAAATCAAATACGTTTAACTTTTAGCATCCAACATGCTGAGCAGAGCAGAAGGAGTGGGGAAGGGAGGTGTTGGGGGAGATATCTCTAACTCACAATTAATAAGCCTTTGCTAAAGAATATAACATTCATCTCGTAAGTGGAATTTTCACTTGATTTGCAGTCAGAAAATCTGAATCCATATGTAATGTTCTTCAATTGCAAGTTGAATAATCATGGGAAAGTAATAATCTTATGGAGTCTGAAATTTCTATATAATTAGATTTGTCATTTATATAGTAGTGATGATAACAGCTCCATTCTAGCTTAGGGCGTTAGCATAATACTTTTATCAGATAATATGTAACTACACAATGCTATACAAAAGGAGATCATTGTTATAGATAGCAATGAAATGAACGGCTTTTTCTTCATTGCTTATGGTTTGGTGTTTAAAAATTATCTATAGGGGAAACCTTCATTAAGGTGTAAGCGCTTTTTTTTTTTTTTTTTTTTTTTTTTTTT